TACTCTGGAACAGTCTTTCAACCGTGTTATCGCTATAGTCAAAACAGCATCATTTGTAACAAATATTCTTTCAAATGAACTAAAATCATTTTACAGAAACCTAAATACCGTAAACAATAAAAAATGCAAAGAATAAATTGTGTTTAGTAAAATAACAATACGGTTTGTATTTATAATATTCCAACATTAACAGCGTATATAACAACAGTGAAATATGAAGTCATCGCAAATTTTCAAATAATGAACATTGCAGTCCTTCATCTTAAATTTCAATATTTCTATAATTTAACAATTACAAATTATTAACCAAATGATTAGCCAATTGTGCATAGTAACTAACATATGTGCCATATGTACTATGTATTATAATTTTTCTATTACAATAATTAGAAGTACAAATTTCCGATTTTCAAAAATAGAAATAATTTAAAAAAAGATAGCGATGATCGTTTCGCAAGACTCGAGACTATTGAATCTATTAGAAGTACCAATGAAAAAATAATTAACATTCGAGTCTGTTCCAGATGCTACGGGCCGTGTCTGACCCTTACGGCAGAATCTCCTTTGTATGAGCAACGCGCACGCAAGTTCGCGCAAGCGTTGGGATGTTATTAGCACGCCTCGGGAGTCGTAGTCAGTTGCCCGGAGACTCGCGTACACGGTGAATCTTTCAGTTACGCGTTTCGATCATGATGCACGCACGTGACATGAAGCACGAAACTCAATTGTTTTAAGTGTGGTGCACATGTTTCTTGTATCGGTGTGTGTTTTTCTCGAGTAATTACAATGGTGAGTAGTTATGCATACTTTCCTATCTGTTTACCTGAACCATTCAACCCTTTGCACTCGACACTGTTTCCCTCGACGAATATTCATTATTTTCTAATGAAATGTTAATAATGTTATTTGCAACTAATATAAAGAAATATCTTGCATAAATTAAGGGACAGAAATATTTCATTTGGATGTTCCATGTATTGATATATTATATAAAATTTAATATTTAATCTTAAGTTTTACAATATTGTTGGCTCAAATCAAATGGCGACTGAAAGGCTCCTTTCGAGTGTAAAGGGTTAACATGTTGACCGCCACGGTAGTCATTGATGACTGGTGCGTGCAAATTACATGAAAACAATTACAATAAGAACACAAATTAAAATGTTTAGTGACATGAGTAACTAAATAATAGTATAGTTTAAGACCTATAGTGCCAAATCATTATTAATTAATTCTAATAACATTTGCCTCTGTTAGAATACGATAAGTAATGTTGTACGACACTCCAAATTCTCGTGGCGGAGAACGTGTTAACAACGATCGTCTATATTGTATTCTTATTTATATATTTGACATTACAAAGCGTATGATTCGGAGTTTAAAATGCATACTACAATATATACAATTGTTTTTATTGAGATTTAGGCAATTTTCAAATTAATTAGTAAAATGCTCAATAATCAAAATGATGCAAATAAATTTATTTTTTAAGTATTTAAAAATGAATGTAATATTAGTTTCTGTGTCACATTTAAGCATCTGTGAAATAAGGGTTCAGTTTGATGAGATGTTATTTTGTATTTAAATATATTAAATTTGAATCTTTTCTTTTGTATCTTCTTTAGTGTTGGTATTTTGTAAGTTTTAACTTGGTAGTTATGGGATGATTTACAAGAAGGTTGTATGCAAATTACGATTACATTTTTTATGGAGAAAGAAGGAAGGTAACATTGCATTAAGAAGGTTTGTGTCTTATGAATGATAAAAAGGGTTGTTTCCCTATTGAAAGTAAAATCAAAGTCAAAATCAATATTCGTTATGTCAATTTGATACATCATTAGATTAACAAAAAATATCTCGGAACATTCCAATTTTGTAAAACATTATCAGTTCAATGATTAATCAACCAATCACTATTGAGATACTATACTTCAATAGGATACCAATTTTAATCAACGTTAATTACTCTATTATTACATAAAGTTAATGCACGCTAAAACGTCGTGTTTTAATCCTATCAAACTGGAAAAAATTAGAGCAACTAATTAAGCCAGATTAAATCCAATCAACGTCTATTATTCACCAATATAAATAAAAGTTAATAAAAACATTACAAACTCAATCTCCACAGGTTATAAACATCATTATCTTAAACGACTGAAACGATCATTTCGCCAATATCGATTAAAATTTAAAAGCACTTGAAATGTTGCTAAAGCGATTAAAAGGAATCGTTACACCAGAAGTAATGCTAAACTAATTATTGTATATTAATAACAAATTTACTTTTTATTTCTACACAATCATTACAATTATATTTGTCGATTTAACCACATAATTTTCAAAACTAATCATTCAACAATCGAAAACAATAATGCGTAGAGTATCTAACTGAAAAAACGGTATAATGATAAGTTGACTTTCATCCGTTTCGTTTTCACGCAAAAAATAAATCGAAAATGTCATTTCGCTGGGTACACACGATTTACCGTGATCTTCCATAAAAGGTCAGCGGTGCAGCGAGGGCGCAGATTCTCAATGACCCTTGAAATGACTGCTCGCGAACGTACCGACCGTTTGTTGACACGGAGTACGTGATCCACGACGATAAACAGCGATCTCTTGAACTCCAGTTTAATGCACAACAAACTTCAACAGACAACTAATATTTTTAACGCCATATTGCACAGTGGTTCGTCGAGTATTCATCGAAAATGCAACGGAATAAAATAGTTCTAGAAAAATATTAAATTCATTCAGTATACGCATAAAGTGTCTCGCAAATAAACAGCGATAATGTTGAACGAACAAATTTTATGAGGATATAGAATACAGATTTTTATTGGCTTCCTTTGTTTTGCAGGAAATCGATTTTTAATATTCGTTGGATGCACGTGCCGTTGCATATGGCTAATGAGTCTGTTCTTTACGTACCGTTTCTACTTAAAAGTGAAATGAATGAACGTACAGGATTTAATTAATCTGTCAAGAATAACGGAAATAAAGGGGATAAGTTTATTAAATGAAAATAATTATCCAATTCAAGATAAAATGTTTCAACAATTATAAGTATTTGGGTAATCAGAATATCGTCGTGGTGTTCTTATTAATCATAGAAATTGTTGTGGGAAAAATGTTAAATTTACTCTGATAGATATTATAAGAGAATAAATATTTAATACATTTGTATTTGTATTATTTTATGTTTTGTGTTTATTATCTACAAGACATAGTTCTGTGTAGTTCTGTGAAATTATATAAAGATATTGCGTAAACGTTTTCTGCACATCAAGCTTCGACGAAAAATGTATACGATAGTGTGAAGTATTGCGTTAGTGCAAAGTGTGTAATCGAAACATTCCTCTTTTTAATGAAGTATAGATATTACTATTTCTAAATTGCTTATTAGAAACGAGGAAATGTGTAGGGGAACATGATATTTATTTAAACGGAGAAAAGTTGAAATTAATAGTGAATTGTATGGTCAACCAATGCGGTCACTTCTCGTAAAATTATAAAAAGGACGGTGAACCAATTAAGATTGTAATTGGAATTGGAGAGAAATAAATTGGAAAATTAATTTGGGAATATTAAAATGTTTCGATGCTTAATGTACATCAGTGTTTATTAAATGTATTACTGAAACAGTGAATAAAGTTAAATTAGAATAAATAAATTAAATTAAAAGTATTTTAAGAATCTTCATTATATTTTCTCGTTAATGTCTATCAATTATACTATGAATATATTAAACAAATAATTGATCGATAATTTATTTAGTAATTTAAAAACAATGTGGAATAATTTATTTTTTTTTATTTTCCTAAACATTAATGCGCAAGAAGCTTGACTTTATACGTTATTTAGAACTGTGAACTTTTCAATGTTTCTTCGGGCCAGATTTGAAAGAGGTGGACACCGCCATTATTGGAGATATCCTTCCCTTCACAGTTTGATTACGTTCATCAATCATCCCAAACTTTGGAACTACTTTCCCAGAGCTTTTACTGAATGCTTCAAAAACTTGCGGTAGATAAAATAACCCATTCAATTTACACAAGTTTACAACCAAGCTTTTTTGAGGGGAAATTGATGATCAGTTAGGAAACGAAACTTTGTCTGCAGAGGCGGAAGGAAAAGTTTAACGTATTCGAAATTACCAAAATCAAAGCAGAAACTTTGTTACGTTTGTAAGTGATATTGTCGAATATTCAGTAAACCTTTGATATTTCTATGTTATGGATAAATAAAAACTGATTCTATAACAATTAATCTGTGATAAAAATAAAACTATTGTATAATTTATCAAATATTGTTTTGTCCAATATAATATATGGCATTATGCCATTATTTCACTATTACATTCATAAATATTAATAATTTCTGAAGAACTTTAATAAAAATAAGTTGATAAATATCAATGATTCTGCAAGAAGTTTGAAACCTGTTTAATATTGAAAATTTGATATCACTTTCGACTCGTCATTTTTCAAAATCGTCAAGAATATAAAAATTACGTGCGACGATCTCGTCAGAAACCGTTAAATCCGCGGGATGAGGTTGTTTATTCAGTTACTTCTCCCGTGTCGTCGCCACAGTGCTATAGTAAACTGTCAATTGAACGAAAATATTGTATCGTATCTTCGGCAAACACGGGCAGAGCGAAAAACGCAATTATCAGACAACTTTCCTGTATTCCAGTTGGCGCGCAACGCACTTCGCCGGTATTCAACAATATCGAACACGAAGTTAGTTAGCGTTTAATCTCGTCGAAGTTAATTAGAACCGAAGCTTCCCCGACAAAACAAAAGCTCGCGCCCCTGATTGGTCAACCAGAATTCCCATTCAGAATATTGCGACGATATTTCTAGGCGCGGCGCTGCTGCGAAACTTTCTAACAGATGTTTCGAGGAGCGAGAACACACATAGTGGAGATTCGTTTTCTTCGACGTGTGACATATTTGCGCGCGCTCCATTGATTCTTCTATTCCGTAGACATGACAATTCGAGCTGCGCGTTCACTCGATAACATTGCGCGAAACATGAAAATTGAGGAATCGCGGAAGTTGTTTTTGAAGAAAACGTATCAGTCCGTTGATAAGTTTGTCAATAAATTTCTTAATATATTTCTTAACGAGTTAATAAACATGTTTAAAGAAATATTTATTGCTAGACAGATAGGACTATATTTGTTTTACCAAAGTTTTCATAAACACGAAATCACGTTAATATAAAAACTGCGTTTATAATTAATCGCAATAAATTCTAAAGAAACTTATATCACAAACTTACATGAAACGTCGACTGCCACGAGAATTTCGAGCGTTTTGTTATAGTAAGATTTATTCCTTTATAATAGAGGAAAATGGTATTAGGAATAATTAATATTTTGGTATTAAAATACTCATATTACACTATTATCTACTTTATTGTGTCACTGGATAATTTGATTCAATATCAATTTTCTTATTGTAATTGTTTTCAAGCAATTTGGAAGCTCCGATCACCGGTAGCCACCGTGGCAGTCGACGTGTTAAAATAACTCTTCGATTCTTTAAAAACATAGCAATAGAATCTAAACGAAAAACATATCCCTTGAAGTCTACGAGAACTGAGGTGAGATGGGAATAAATCATAGGGAATATTCGTTGTGCACAAATCCTTGATATTCCTAGGATACCGGAGCGTTCATCGTGGCGCCCATATATTGTAACGGCTCGAAACAAGCGGAATTGATTAAGGGGTGCAAAGGGATCGCGAAAATGGCCGCGGTACGGCGCGCATAACGT